TTCCGATGCTCGTTGCATGTACTTGCACCATGACGCAGCTGAGACAAATAAACAATCGCGAAACGTGAAGATTGCCTGTTGCGTGATGTGACAATGTTCGTTAGGGTGAAATCACACGGTGCAGAAAACGACTGCGGAATAGAGAATACGTCATAGAAGCAACCAATCAGTTCCAACCAATCAATTCTTCTGCGTTGTTCCGCGAATAGCGGAATAATTGATTGTTTCAATAATGCATTCTCTATTCCGTAGCTCTTTTCCGTGTGATTTCACTCTTAAGAGCAAACCGCGCGAATTATGTACTTATTAAAACAAAAAATTTAAATTAAATACGCGATGAAGTTAGCAGCGTCACGCGTTGCAAATTTTAAGTAATACGAAAAGTCTATTTATTTATCATTCATTCTAAAAGTTATTAATTTATCATTCATTAATTGTATATATAAAGTTTTTACAGTGTGGCCGCTGTCTACTCGACTATTCCGTCTAAACAGCGACATCTTTACGAAACTCATGCAAACTGTTCAAACTTCAATAAATTCTTGCTCTAAACCAATAAAACGCTGTTTGAAATCTATAATATTAGCGATTGGTAAATTATCGTGTCAATAAGCTTTGCAAGTAATTGTAGATTTTTACATGACTAATCGATAAATATGTTTTACAATTGTTTAGCACAGATGTCACAATTCATTTTTAAAAATCATACATTTCGATAATATATATATTGTAAAGGTAGCTTTTCATGCCGATGCTCGACTCTCATTTTCGGTGTCAAAATAAGACACGTGATAAAAATGGACGAATATCAAGCGTCAATTTTGATTACGTGATCTATTTTGACATTGGAGGCCGCACAGACTCTTGCATAATGCATAATGCATAGTGCATAAGAGAATCAACCAATCAAAATTCTTCTTTTCCATGGAATGAGAGGAAAGGAAAGATTCTGATTAGTTGATTCGCTTATGCATTATACATTGTGCGTTATACAAAAGTCTGTGCTGCGGCTTTGAAAATGAGCGTTGAGCGTCAGCATAAAAAGGCACCTTAATTGATTACGAGTTTCTCTTAGTATATACTTCGTGTATATAACCTTAGAACTCAGAATTCACATCTGTCGACTGCGGCATATGTCCATGAGAGATTGTAAGATTCGAGAGAATCGCTAATCACAATTATGAAAAAATACGTAGAACAGTTATTAAAAGGAGATGACAGTTCACAGTCGCTACATCTAGCCTTACTGGTTGCTGCATTTATTCTTATAACATTAGGTAACTAGCATGTTTATTCACAAGTGTTGTAATATTGAGAATGTATTACTTTTATTTTATAAATTATCTTATTGTGTTTTGTTATTTTATTATTTTATTATTTTTATTTCATATGCTTTTTAATATCTTTAAAATTACTATGGTTTATTTGTTAACTTATATGTGTGTGTGTAAAAAGAAATAATTTTTTAATTTTTCTTCATGACATAAGTTTGTAGGATTTGTTTTTCGAATAATTTTAACTGAATTAATATGGAAAGAATATTTTTTTCTGTGTTTTAATTATTTGTTTACATATAATATTACATCATTCTCTTATACATAATATATTTTTATTAAGTACTACTTTAATAAAATTAATTTTTGTAGTTTTATTTGTATTTTGGCGCAAGAGAAAATCTAAAGGTAATATTATCCTTTTAACGGGCCTTAGTGACAGTGGAAAAACATTGATCTATGCAAGATTATTATGTTCCCAATTTGTCAAGACATATACATCTGTTAAAGAAAATATAGGAGATATTACGATCAACTATGTAAGATTTAAGCAATATTTTGTGATAGACTAGATTTATAATTATATGGTAGTGTATCTATATTGTAATTGTTCTTATAAAAATTTTGCTTAGCGTTTTTTAAGAATAGTGGACATTCCTGGAGATGAACGACTACGTGGCAAGTACTTCGATAAATATAAATCATCTGTCAAAGGTCTGGTTTATATAATTGATGCAGTGACTATTCAGAAGGAGATCAGAGATGTGGCTGAGTAAGTATAAAATTTGATGAAATTGATTTTTAACAAAATGTTTCATATAAATATTGAATAAATCCTAACATTTATATGATTAATATTTTTTTGCAGGTATCTGTATAATTTGTTATCGGATCCTGATATACAAAAAACTGCTCCTGTCCTTATAATGTGCAACAAGCAAGATCAAACTATGGCTAAGGGATGTTATGTGATAAAAGCATTATTGGAGAAAGAAATGAATCTGTTGCGTATGACAAAGACTAGCCAGTTGGAAGCCACTGACGCATCGTCGACAAATATCTTTCTTGGGAAACAGGGAAAACATTTTGAATTCTCGCATTTAGATTCGCAAATTGATTTTGTAGAGTCGTATGCGTCAAATGATGATTCTCAAATGTCAGCTGACATTGAAGAGCTTAAGAAGTGGTTAATTAAAATAGCGTAATAAATTGCGGATCCAATCTTACTAAATATAAATTATTGTAAGTAACTTTGTAATTATATCAGAAAATTTTTTTATTAAACTTTCAGAATCATTATATCACATTATGAAAGAAACAGATGTTTATTTAAATATAACTTCATGATCTTCGTTTATATTTATCCACAAATTAGCATATATATATATATATATATATATATAATTCTTGTTTGCAAATTGAATCTCCATTAAGAGTTATGCTTGGTTTATGCTTTAGTCTTAATTTTAAAAGTTGGTAACAAAGAATGCCATAAGGTCATTTATGCTTCTCCAAGAATACGTTCCAAAACTCGATTTCGAATAACAATTAACTCTACAGTGTTCCAAAACGCGAGATAATTCCATATGGGCGAAGCCTATTCGTTCCAAAAATATAAGTAAACCTACCTTGGAGTCAACTACGAACTCTGCTTCCGGGTAAGTTGAAAGATTATTGGCTCCTGCACACTGGACGCGGAAACCAATGAACACTAGGAGCTGTAAGCTTATTAGCTACCGCATCATATTTTGTTGCGTGGCAAGCGTTTCTGTGGCTATCCTCCCTCCTGGGGTGCTATTTTGTAACTATTTTTTCATGCCTATCACGATAGTTGATTCGATGTCGTTAACAACATCGGTCGACAAACTTTAGTAACTGCGATTTTATATTATCACTATCGATGAATATTTGACGATATTTATCGTTAATGAAAGACAACTATTATTAACTCTAACGTAACCCCCCCCCCCTCCTCCCTCATAGGTGACGAAAACGTATCGTACCAACACATTTGAACTTATTAACGACAACCAAAAATAGTAAAAACCGCTATGTCACTATTAAGCAGATTGAAGGCATTATAAAGTAAATATTTTTTAAATATTTAATTTAACACATCGCAATTGTGTGGATAAAATGACAGCTCGATATAAATCAGACAATTGGATGTAGAAATATGTTCTTAAATTAAACAATTCTACTGTACAGTGCAATATAGATAATTATGATCAAATTTATTATAATAATACGAAATTTACAAATAAATTGATAACATTGATGAATACATTTATATCGTAAGCATGAAATATGGACTAAAGAAAATCGTTTAAAATGAAAAAACGACAATGACAATATTTTGACAAAGTAGACTTATACAAAGGAGAATATAAATTTTATAAAAATTTTCATCATGAAGCATATATACCAAATCTAAAGTCGCATCTGACGAAAGCATAGTCAACACATAAGAACTACTATACAAAAAAAATTACAAATAAGTCGTTATCATAATAATTCGAAATTCGTGAGGAAGAATTTAGTGCATGGTGTAAATGTTGCAATCTTAAAATAGACATTTTACGGAACAAATGCATTAATACATTACATTTGTTTCAAAAAGTATCAACATTTAAGGTTTTGAATAAAAATCTGAAGATAACGTGAATAGAATGACAGCCTATCACTGAAAATGCAAATACAAGCTCCTCGAAATCAAGATCAACAAAAAGTAAGTGTTAATAATAAAAATATTAATGTTTTTTTTCTTAAGTTATAAATACATAATGTATACTTTAAGTACATTACAAATTTAATATATTTCTTAATTTACTTCAACGTTTCGCAATCGGTAAACTACTTATTTGTAAGTTGCAATAATTACAGCAATTACACTATTAGTGTATTTTATAGCAATACAAGAATAAATGACTTAAGATCTCACTGTCATTATCATATAAATGAAAATTCAAGACATGAAGAAGGAGCTGCAGATAATAGTGAGTATAAAATGATGCAGTAAAATATAGAAAATATGACTACATATTATCATCATGTACATATTGGCATGATCTTGAAAATCGAGATAGTCAACAGAGGTAAATGATACTAATATATTTTATTCTTCTAGAAGGATTAGTATATTCTATTATAAACTACAGAATTGAACATCTAATGATTTAATAATATAAACTTTATAACTTTGAGTCAAAATTTAACAAATGTGATTTGAATATTATATCACCGAATTAAATAATAGTAACTAATAAATGTATATCAAGTTCTGAAGAAATTAATATAGATGGCATGGTACAATTCCTTGGTTACAATCATGGAAGTACATGTTGATACGTTCTTGGAAACCAAGATGGTCAACAAAGGTAAATGATATTAATCTATCAATATATTTTATTCTTCTTGAAATATTAATATATTCTATTATAAACAACAGAATTGAACATTTTAATGATTAGCGATATAGACGATATAGATAAGCGATATAGATAAATTTGAAATATTCAATAAATGTGATTTCCATGTTATATTTATATCTAATTTAAGTAATATTAACTAACGAATATATATCAAGTTCTGAAGGAAATAACACGAATAACATTAATTTCCTTGTTCATGATGTTTCGGATGTAAGATCATAATCCGTTCTTATTTTAAGACCGTCTTAAGTAACATCTTAAGATATTACGGCTCTCTTATTGGTTCATGACATCTTAAGACTGTATTTAAAGACGATCTTAAATATAAGATCTGATTATGAATATCAGCCTTCGTGTAATTCTCATGGTTCAAAGGCTTGTTCATCCTCTTCATCCAATAACAAAATTGCTACCATGTATATTGCGATTTAATTTTATTTTCTATCAGAATAAAGTAACGACAAACAAAATCGACATGATGTTGTTCCATCTAGTTATTCATTACATTGTCGATGGTGACGCACAAATTTCACCGAATTGCTGAAAAAATAGATAAAGAATCTTCTAATAATTAGATTAAAACAGATTAATAATAGCATTGTATGTTAGAATTTGGGAATTCTTATTCTACACAATTCGAGACATTGCATTTGATTCAACCATGTATTATGGACTCACGAAGAAGAAAAAGAGCGTGATTTGCGAATTATATGACTGCGAAATTTGTTTTAATTTTATGTACTAAGGCGGGATTTTTTGTATTCTTATTGAGATGGCCAGATGTTGACCGAAACGTCTAAGTTTAATCTTGATAATATCACAAAAAACAACCTGTGTTGTGGTTTTTGTTCCTTTATTGAGGAAATTTTACTAAATTAAAGATCACTTTTTCATTATTTATATTTTATTACAAAAATTCTTACCTATGAAATGAAATGCTCTTTTTACTTCTATGCACACCCAAGCACATAGTACGTCATGCTTTGCATATTTTAGTCACGCGATTTTATAATCTTTCAAAGTAATCTTTCAAATATAATCCCACACGCGATGATCTTTCAGACATATATCTCACTGAAGAACACTAAAGGTAAAAGACTCTGCACAATAAAAGAAACAAGGAATAAAGAACAGAGAATAAGAATTTCAACTTATTCAGAAATCATACATTGTGGAATACACAGTTTCTGATAGGTTGAAATTCTTATTCTTTTATTCTCTGTTCCTTTTATTGTACGCTCCTAAGTGTGCACCTGTAAGCTTCTGATTCGCTCTTATATTGACCAAATTAAAATGACACTGATCAATTGATGTCACAATTTTCTATGCTTCGTAGCGGATGCCCATTTCAGTGTATATATAGTTCAATGTCCCGGAAACCTGGACTGGTAATTAAAATTAAGAAGAAGAAGAAACGTCCCTTTTGATCACTTTGCTATTGCTCACAGACATTCACAGCAACCGATACCTAGAATTTTTCCACTGGACCAACTATTCAGAAAATTATAATTAAATTGAAGTATTGTTACTAAATCTTAATTATTAATTTTGTAAAAGGATTTTGTAAATACTTGATTATTTTCGATACTTTAAAGAAAATAATTGATATACCAAAATGATATATTTGAAAATCGATTTTTTTTCAGGGATGATGCTTTTTTTTAACAATGCCCATTCTTAAACTGGATTGAATTCGGCACAATCAAACAGATTAGGTGCATAACCTGCTTAATTCTTGCTCTTCACCGAGCTCAGACTGCGTTCCGTTTCACGCCATGCGCACATGAGAATGGCTAAATGTTTGTACGGCTCGCAGCGCATGACAATGCATCAGGGTTAGTTGCTTCAGGGAGTCGATTCTGTATCTTCAAACAAAATGAAAATTACAAAAATGAGCAAATTTTTTTAGATGTTAACCAATAAAATTATCAGTATTCTAGTAAATTCGCTCTTTTAATAAGTAATTTTCACTTTGTTTCAAGATACAGAATCGATCCTCATCTCCCGAGATGAAACAGTCCATATATCTATGCGCAAGGGTTACGTTAGCCATTTTAGGCGGAAAAGAGTAACTAATTGTTTCTATTGTTATTATATGAAAAATCACATTTCTTTGAAAATGAAAGAACTTCGTATTTACAAAAAATGATGAATTATAAATATTAAACATATCCGATGCTGAATTCATAGCAGCAATTGATAGTAAGTAATCCCGATAAAAAATTGTTTATGCATAAATATCTGTAAATATGTATAAATATTTATAAACATATAATTATATATGAAATTATATATAATTATTATAATTACATATGTAATATGTACACATGTGTTTCATTCTTTTGTTTTTTGTAAAATTGTTTTTTAGTGTAATAAAAATAATAATAATGAGAAAATATCAAAAATAATTAAAGGGACAATTTTTCGCATCGTTTAATAAAAAAATTAAGTTTAGAGAAATATGAAAAAAA